GAGGAGCTCCGCCGGCAGCGTTCGATGACCCGACGCTCCCCACCACGAGCTGCAATGCTTGCTGGCTTGGAGGCCAGTTGTGACCAAGTGGCGTTGATGGCAGAACTGAAGTCCTTTATCCGTGAGGAAATCGCGCGTCAGTTCTCCCTCCTGCCCTTTTCCCACCAACCTGCTGTTCAACAATCGGCTACTACCCTTCTCCGTCCCATCCGCCGAGCCATTGAACAGGAAATAGCGGAGGTAATGCCTGCTTACCACCCCCAACAGCCTCCGGCTCCTGCGTCCCAGAGTTACGCGCAAGTGGTCGCCAGGCCACCCCAAGTCGTTCAAGCACCCGCCCCTCTGACCTACGCTGAAGCTGCTGCACGACCTCCGTCCGTTGCAGCGGGTATGCCCGCTACGTATGTTGACGTAACCCCTCAGCCTCAGCTTCAGTCCACCATGCAGCCACCGTTCCGTCCATCAGCCCTTGCGACATGGGTGAGACCTACCCCGGTGAACAGATGGCGCACACCCGACAACCGGACCATCTGCTTTGCCTGCGGTTACGCCGGTCACGTGGCCCGTTATTGCCATCGCGTACAGCCGGCTCCAATTTCTTCACCTGTTGCTGGCCAACTCAGCCGTCCTTATCGCGAAGAACCGCCGTCTATGCCACCTCGATCTCGCCCAGGTCCATCTCGAAGATCACCATCTCCACGACGCCGTTCCCTGTCTCCCATGCGGCCAAGTGCGGCAGCTCATGAGCGGGAAAACTAGTCGTCACAGATCTGAGGCAAGGACTGCGACGCTATCGCAATGTGAAAGCCCTCAGAGCAGCCCCTCGAATGTCATTGACGTGCTTGTGGACGGTGTTTGTGCATCGGCTCTTATTGACACTGGAGCTGCCGTATCAGTTATGAACGAAAAACTCTGCCGCTTACTTCGAAAAGTGACGACGCCACTTTTTGGGTTATCCCTCCGTACTGCAAGTTTGCACCGGATTCATCCTACAGTAGGGTGCACAGCTCGCGTTGTCATCCAGGACGTTCTGTATGTCGCCCAGTTCATCGTCATTCAGGCATGCTCTCATGACATCATCCTGGAATGGGACTTTCTCACCCGCCGTGACGCCGTCATCCATTGTGCCGCCGCCGAAATTGAGCTCTCACCCTTCTCGCATTTGACGCCAGAAGACAGTCCCCCGACACTGAGCAAGATTCTAACGAAAGACGATACAACAGTGCCTCCAAACTTGACAACGGCTGTGTCTGTCTACTGCGCTGGTCTCTCCGACACCATTGGACTTGTTTCGCCATCTGACCGCGCTTGCAGCAGGAAAAGTTGCTAGTACCTTTCGCGACCGTGCAGGTCAACTAGGGCAACACTGCTATTTTTGTAACCAACCCGTTTCCGGACGCTGTTACCTTGCTTCGAGGGGAATGTCTCGGCAAAGTGGAACCAGTCGACGACGCACAAGTCCTGGACGTACCCGATGACACGCGCGCTCCCAGGTCGTGTAAAATCAATGCTGTTTCCACTTCTGATTCGTCGTCTGCTGATGTATTTGGCCCCTCCATCGCTGACAACCTTACGGCCGTACAGCGTTCCCAACTTCTGGACCTGTTACAAGAATATTGTTCTTCTTTCGATGTCGGGCGAAGTTCTCTCGGTCGCACGTCCGTTGTTACGCATCGCATCGACACTGGTGCCCATCCACCTTTACGGCAACGTCCATATCGCGTGTCGCCTGCTGAACGTCGAGTAATTAATGATCAGGTTGACGATATGCTCCGACGCGACGGTATTCGGCCCTCCGACAGACCATGGGCGTCTCCTGTTGTTCTTGTTGCGAAGAAAGACGGTTCTGTGCGGTTCTGTGTGGACTACAGACGGCTCAATAAGATCACTCGCAGGGATGTTTATCCACTGCCACGCATCGATGACGCGATTGACAGCCTTCATGGAGCCGATTTTTTTCTTCTCTCGATCGGCGCTCGGGGTACTGGCAAGTACCCATGCTGACGACGCTCGACCAAAGACCGCCTTCGTCACGCCAGACAGCTTGTACGAGTTTAACGTCATGCCGTTTGGTCTATGTAATGCACCTGCGGCCTTTGAGCGCATGATGGACACCGTTTTGCGCAACTTGAAATGGTACACGTGCTTGTGTTACCTCGACGATGTCATTGTCTTTGCTCCGGATTTCTCCACGCATCTCCAACGTCTGAAAAAAGTTTTCGCACGTGTGAGCAATGCCGGCTTACAACTAAATCTGAAAAAGTGCCGCTTTGCAGCGCGGCAACTCACCATACTGGGGTAAGTCGTGTCCAAAGACGGCATTCTTCCTGATCCTGCCAAGCTTCAGGCCGTGGCCGAATTCCCCAAACCTGCATCTGTCAAAGAACTGCGTAGTTTCGTGCGCCTGTGCTCATACTTCCGACGCTTCATACGAAATTTCGCCACGATCATATCACCGCTGACGAAGCTCCTTGGAAGCAACGGGCCCTTCAATTCGTGGTCATCCGAGTGCGACGACGCGTTCGCGAAGCTCCGCCATTTGTTGACGTCGCCTCCCATTCTACGCCACTGGGACCCTACAGCCCCAACGGAGGTGCACACGGACGCCAGTGGAGTAGGCCTCGGCGCTGTCCTGGCGCAGCGAAAACCCGGATTCCCTGAATATGTCATAGCATATGCAAGCCGTACGCTCACGAGAGCCGAGAAAAACTACACCGTCACGGAGAAAGAGTACCTGGCGATCGTCTGGGCTCTTACAAAGTTTCGACCTTATTTGTATGGTCGCCCATTCGATGTCGTCACCGACCATCATGCACTATGCTGGCTTTCATCATTGAAGGATCCCTCAGGCCGTCTCACCCGTTGGGCTCTTCGCTTACAAGACTACGATATCCGCGTGCTGTACCGCAACGGACGCCAGCATGCTGACGCCGACGCCCTCTCGCGCTCCCCTCTGCCCGAAGGTGATGTGCTCTGCTCAGTATCCTCGGCTGCTGTTTCTGCCATTGATGTTGACAACATCGCTACCGAACAGCGAAAGGATAATTGGATCGGCCCGCTCATCGACATGCTCTCTGATCCATCCGCAACGCCATCCACGCGTGCATTGCGTCGTCAAGCTAGCCATTTCGCCATTCGTGACGGCCTCCTACACCGACGCAATTACGACGCCGACGGCCGGCAGTGGTTACTCGTGATACCCCGCAGTCTGCGGTCAGAGATATGTGAATCCTTCCATTCTGATCCGCAATGCGCGCACTCTGGGATATTCAAAACCTACCATCGCATTCGACAACGCTACTTCTGGCGCGGGATGTACCGCTATGAGCAGCAGTTCGTTCGCTCTTGCCTCACTTGCCAACGCCGTAAACCGTCAGCCCTTATGTCGCACGCCAGTCTACAACCGTTACCTTGCCCTGACCGTTCCTTTGGGCACGTAGGTATCGATTTGTATGGACCACTTCCTCTGACGTCGGCTGGTAACCGCTGGGCCATCGTTGCCGCTGACCATTTAACGCGATACGCCGAAACCGCCGCTCTCCCTGCGGCTGCTGCGCGCGATGTTGCGTCCTTCCTGCTGCATCGATTTATACTGCGCCACGGACCACCCCAAGAGCTTCTTAGCGATCGAGGCCGTGTCTTCTTGTGGGAAGTCGTCGAAGCCATTCTGACGGAGTGCCATTCTGTCCACCGCAAAACTACTGCTTACTACCCACAGACGAATGGCCTCACCGAACGCTTTAACCGCACCCTCGGCGACATGCTTTCTATGTACGTCGCTGCCAACCACACTAATTGGGATAATATACTGCCCTTCGTCACCTACGCCTACAACACCGCCCCTCAGAGCACGACTGGTTTTTCACCTTTCTTCTTGCTGTGCGGAAGGCACCCGTCGCACACCATGGACACGATACTCCCGTACACGCCGGATCCATCTGAGTGTACACCTATTTCCGAGACAGCCAGGCTTGCTGAAGAGTGTCGCGAGCTTGCCAAGACTTTTACGACGCAAGAACAAGAGCGGCAGAAGAGTATCCAGGATGGCTCCACAACTTCTGAGTCCACGTTCCTTCCTGGTGCGCTTGTATGGCTCTCGATCCCGACCTCTGCCGCTGGCCTCTCTTCCAAACTACGTCCCAAATACGAAGGCCCCTACCGTTTCATCGAGCGCCCCTCACCCGTCAACTATCTGATCGAACCCGTTGAACAATCTTCGGACATGCGCCGCCGGGGGCAAGACATCGTCAACGTGGAGCGCCTGAAGCCTTATTATGACCCGCTCATAATAACAAGCTGTTACGTCGCCAGGCGGCTCCCTCTTCGACCCCGGGGTAATTGTAGCGAAGCCTCCGAACTATGAAATAGGTCGAAATCTTGAGTACCTTCTAGTGGGGCTACCCAACAAGGACGCCGCTCGCACTGAGGGCCCGTGCTTGGCTGTGACTGTCGCCATTGTGTACTCTCGCTCGTTGCCGGCTAATAAACGCCTTAACAATATATATATATATATATATATATATATATATATATATATATATATATATGTATATATTTATATATATATATGCCCAATTACCCTGCTACATTATATTGGCTGCCTCGGGGTTCTTGGGCGGCAGTCACAAGCACACGAAAATTTATTGATGATATGAAATAGTAATATTTTTCGCCAATGTTTCCGCTGCTGTTTTAATGAAATATTTTAAAGCTGTACTCATTGTCCAGTGACTCATTTTATTGTCTTGTTCAGTTTTCAGAGATTTATTTTTCTAGAAGCCAATGAACGCGAGATATGTACAGCCTAGAAGTTGAATGAATGGACTTTATATAAAGTCCGGCAGTTTTACCGAGTGAGCTGGGAGGGAAGAAGGGATTCGCCCCTGTCCTTTCCCACTTTTTGTCGATTACAATGGCGGTGCCTCAGGTGCCCACTCGAAATTGTTGAGCCCGGGCAGCTTTTTGCCGTCCGGTAAGCCTAGAAGTCATTTGCAAAAAAGTGTTGTCAGAAAATAAGTATTTATTCCAACATTTTTTACGAAGATCGTTCTCTATGAATACCCATTTTTCATGAAAACGAAGTTTTTAGGTCATTTATATTCTGAAAAAAAGAAAAATTCAACTGAGCATGCACACATACCACATCGAGCAAATGTATGCATGCGGGAATCATTTTTTCTTAAAAACATTTTAACTTACCCAAACACTTATTGTCTTGCTCTGTAACAAAAAAGTTGGGTGCATTGCACTTTTCACAGAATATTTTCTTGCAGTTTTCCGGAAGAATGCTGGACGCATCATCTGTTGCCCACATTAAACAGTCGTATTTATCTGAAAAAAAGTTCGCAAGATCGCGATTGCAAAAGTTGTTCAAGTAAATGAATATGAAGTACTTTGTTTCGATTGTAAATGGTGACAGAACTTATTTACTTAATGAATATTGCAAAGTAGTGGTTGTGAAAAATCTAATTTCATGTTTGTTGCCTCTCGCCAACGTCAATGAAATTAAATTTCCACGTAACGACAAGATGTTTATCGAGTCAAATGGCCACATGTGTGATAACGGGGTCTTCAGACAAAATGTTCCCATATCTGCTAAGAAAGCACTTAGAATTGTGAAATATATAAAACAACATTGCCCAATAAAAATGGAGAGGCTGAGGCTACGTGTAAAATTTACTCATATAGCTCGTTGGGCCCGTTTTACGAGTTTAATATTTGCAGGAATGTTCAAGAATAAACAAAACATGAAAGGTGCACCGCAAAAAGTCGTTTGCACTTGCATAGAAACGTCATACAGTATAGCTAAAAATAGCTAGTGACCCGAATGCTTTGTATAGTTTACCGGTGTGTCGGTTGTGTTAGGTAAAGTATAAAAGCGAGTTCTCGGAACAATGCCTGTTTTTTTTGTACTCTCACTGCGAGTACTTTGTCCCGCAGACTTGATGCTTTGGTTAGCCGGTGTACGTGTGTCGCTAACTCACATGAAGACCACGTTCCCCCTCCTACCTTCTTACCAATAGCTTGTATCATAGTAGAATTTAGTGCCATAAACAACAGCAACGAATAAAGAACCTCAGAAACACAGAGCAAGGAACCAGTAAATAACTTCAATAGTGCCTTATTTGACGAGTTGGTTCAGAACTATTACACATTCAGCGCCAAAAACGTTGAGTTTTCCATCCACTTTTTGCACTTTGTTCTACTGTATGTAATAGCCTTACCTTGTGTTGAGATCTCCGCTCCTTTTTGTCTTCGTTATTACTTATTGCTGTGCGCGAAGTAAAGGGCCAAAAGCTTTTCTATGGAATCTATCAATTTTTTGGCAAAGACCAAAAATATGTAGATGTTTCATATTTAAGTCTGGGGGTGTGATTCTTCCAGCTACTTAAAATACGCGTGAATTTATTTCTTGACCAGGACCGGCTTGTGTGACTGAACCAATTTCTGAACAGGTATTGGGACATTGGTCAGATAACATTTGATTTTGTAGTGCCTAATAATGAGCGTTAAACGTCTTGCGTGCATGAAAAAGAGCTATAGGAAGGGTAATGACTGCTTCCAGAGCTCTCGCAATTGTACTAGCAGTTCGTTGTTGGCGTTCCCGATTTCGTGCTCCTTGCCGAACGCTCGAGCCTGTGGGCTAGCTTGTTTTCTGCGTCGGTGTTATATTTCGCGTTGGTTTCTATTCATGGGTAATAGAAAAGGTGTGGTAAGAAAGCACTTACTCCTCATTGTCCTCAGCCAGAACAAAAAGAGCACATATTGCCCTAATTATCTCTGTCAGGTGTCTTGATTATTAGCAGATTGACGAATCACATAATGGATGCTTCGCGACTTCATTGAAGTTATGGTTGGCTTCATGAAAGTTACGGTGTTCTTCACGTCATTGAGGAAAAGTTCATAGTATCATCTCTAAGAAACATGGATCTGAAAATATCAGAATTTGGTATACTTTCTTTTGGAGCCTCGTATCTGGGCTACAGTCACAGGCATGTTTTCGCTATGGAGAAATTTTTCGATCAGTCTAAAAAAAGTCACAGCTTTGCCGCAAAGCGAAGCAATGAACGTGATAGCAACAATTTGAAAGGTCCTGTGCGGAATTGAAAGCAGATGGAAACGTGCCCCGCGTTTGTCGCGCACGAATTACGCACAAAACGAACTACCAGGTACGGATGCACGCGCATAACCGTCTCATTTCTTACTTAGCTGAGTCTGAAAAGCATGCGCTTTTCGCGACCGAAAACTGCAATGATTGCAGCGACCTTTTTGTGCCCGGTTACTACAGCAGAATTGTTCCACGTAAAGCCAGAGGCCAGCCAAGGCGTACGATCCTCCCCTCCTCGTCAACGCGAGACAAGGGTGCGCGACGGAGCGTCGCTCCTCTTCTCTAAGCCGGGCACAGTACGTGCAGGTGATTAGAGCGGGCAGCACGGCGCGATGTTGCGACATGCGCTCATTACGCCATTTTTCTCGTAATGCCGAAAACACAGCAGCGGTAAGCGGTAGATATAAATAGGTTGCAGTTCCAACGGTGAAGAACGTTCTACGGGGTGGTTCAGTGGTTAACGCCTCGCTTTCACGACGCACAGGTCACACGTTAGACTGCGCGTACCGCAGTGCTTTTTTATGGATATTTTCTTTGTTGCATTTTCCCGTAATTAGATAGGTATACGTATACGGTGCATGACATCAACGCCGACGCTGGCGGCAAAATTCAGTAGAGGGTGTCTATATAGTTGCTATCACAATAAAATTATCTAGCTCAATTTTTCATGTTTGAAATATCTCATGAATGATAATTCGCACTTATGCTTTTTGTACTAGTTTGTCCTAGCTTGTATTGGTAGTGTACTCAAGAAAAAATTGAAAAAATATACCAACCACCGCGCCGACACCCCTCATCGGCTATGAGCCATCGGACAAAGAGAAAGGCAGTGTGCACCTTGTATGCGCTGTGCCGACACGGAAGCGCCTATTGTGGTTACGCTACAGGCACTGTATCAGGCCGCAGACAACGCACCACAAATAATTCTACACACTGAGCTACCTTGCCATTTATATATTTCCACACATCTGCCCACACTACAATGTGGCAGGCACCCTAGCACATTGTTGTGAGTGAAGTGCACGAGTGAGGTGATTTGAATGTCAAAGTTGACTCGGCAAAGAGACGAAGACCGGCTGCTGACAGTGTACTACCTGCGCGAGCGCGGCGAACACGGATGAATGAAAAAGATAAAAGCTTAAGAAAAATGCACACAGAATTGAAAGCGACCACATCGTATAAAGGGGAAGAAGAAGAGTCAGGCTGGTGGTTGGATGGACGTGGATAGGGTGGGGCGTGGGAGCTCGTTGGGTGCGAGTACCCGTGGGTCAAGGCATCCACTTAGCCTGCGACAGGTTTCACGAGCTCCTGGTGACCATTCACACGCCGAGGCTATTGTCTTGTCCGTTGCACGGCCTAGTTCTGGTGTTTGGGCAGAAGACAGCGCCACAGATGTCTTCTAACAGGCGCCAAGAGATCCCTCAAGCTACAGGCCCGAGCTTGTGCACTCTCACCACTGTGACCTCTTCACTGGATAGCTCTTGGGCAAAAACCGCTGGTGAGTCGTGCCACTCTCCGTGCACGGCCGGACTCCAACAAGAGCTTCCACGGGTAAACTCAGTAGAGCGCTCATACTCTCAGGAGTTTCCCCTCGTTAATGAGAACTGTATATACTTTATGTTTAAGACGTGTCAGTTTACCTTTGTTTATTGCAGTGTTTCCTTGCCATTTTTCTTCTAGCGTGTATAAACAGGTTTACATTTGTAATCAGATTAAAATCTCACCTCCTTCTCTTTCCTAAGAACTGGATTTCATAGCTAGCCCAAATGGCTTTAATTGCGAATCCTGTGGCACACACCTTTTCCCAAATGCGAAGACGGCAACCGTGCGACACAAGCAGCGAAAATTGACGTACACCCTAACATCCTCAAAACGAAGCATGGGATGTTGCGGTATTTAAGCAGGACCTGGTCGAACAGCGCCAAATTGTCGCGCGGGCCCGGCTGACCGGGGAGGGGGGGGGGGGGGCAGAGGTTTGAAAAATGGGGGCGTTACCGCATTCAATCACTTGTCATCTAATGAATGAAGTTTTTCTCTGAGTTTCCAAAGAGCCGACAAGTGCCACTAGCTATCACCGACCATAAATTATTCGCCAAAGTGTACGAAGGTGCGTGCTTCCTTGTCGCTGATATGGCAGAGCAGCATTAACACTTGTGGGGTCTGATCTAACTAACGAAAACGTGACTTTAATAACTGCATTTACAGCTATTGAAGTCGTAGTGACGACAACACAGTTGCTAAGCTACAAATGACGCAATTTAAGTTAATTGCTTAATGTTTGCTAACTGCGTTTGCTGTTTAGCTTTCAGAGAGATGAACATCGCTTTTTGTTGCTAGATTAATGTTGGGGAGCCAAACACACATATGACAGAATGGTACCCATGGGTGCTCAGGCATCGTTCTGAGCAGCAAGCTTTTGCACTGCCTTCCGATATATATTTTTTAACTGTCGTTATTTTGAAATAATGCTATAACTTGTATTAAATGATATTCATAACCGGTGCTGCATTCATATCTGTGCAAGGGAGGCACCATGCCACCTCGTGGTGCTTAACATGCCAGTGATTCGCGTGGTGCAATCCTGCCCTCTGCAGTCTCTTGTGGTTTCATAACCTCGCCGCAGCTGACCATCCGCTGACGTCACAGGATAAGCCACGGAACGTCACTGGTTTGGCATTTGAGTCCCTGAACCATGTTGTGTGCTGCCTTGTTATAATAAAAGAAGTATTTCACCGACACTCACATGAAATGGCCGACGCGCTGAATGCGAAAGTTAGCGTAGATTTATAGTGCTCCAGAAAAGAGGTGCCTCTTTGCGTGATAGAAAAATGTGCATATTAAAGTGCTTACTACCTTATAGACTAGTGGAAAAAACCCTCTCCCTCTTATGAACAAACGCTCCTTGGTCATTATATGCCAAACGTCCAAGCTATTCGGGCAACCTTCTCAGTTGTATAAAAAAATTGTGCTGATTCACTGCATTCAGGAGAGTAAATCGCTAGAATATTATGAACAGAAAAAAAAATTTGGTCATATCAGAGCTTCCTGAACTTCCTAGATTGTCGTCTGGGTGTTGATGGGGAAAATATTTTTTAAAGGTAGCATTCGTTCTTCCTGTACAAAGTTTAGTATGCATATTAGTATATTAGTTTAGTATTGCATATAGTTTAGTATGCATATATAGTATAAACGGGAGCCAGGTTTTAACTTCTAGGTTGCTCCA